CTCCATTTATCTGTGCTTGGTGTCATTTTCTGCTTCAAAGTGGGAATGAGTTTGTTTGTATTTGATGTTGGTATAATATGTGGAGGGGACCCATTGCAACAATGAGATGTACAAGTCGTTAGGTGGAAAAACGAACTTTACAACTTTGGTGGGGGGGGGGAGGTGGGGAGGAGTGGGAGATTGGAAGGGATGGGAAGGGGAAACAAAGGAGGAGGTAACAATGCTTGATAAGAAATGTACTCATTGCCTTGCCCATGTAATTGTAACCCCTCTATTTGGTATTTTCACAAGAAAAAAAAATAACAAGAAAAAAAAATCAGTGACTCACAGGGCTAGTTCCCAGACTTTTAGCAAAGGGAATTTAGGAGAAAATACAAGGAAGGAAAAGTAATACCAAGAACAAGAATAAAGATGAAGTGTAGAATGTAGGGGCATTAGTCCAAAAGTTGGCCAAGGTAAGGCTGGCCTTGTAAGGTGATTGGAGGAACATTAAAAAGTCCAAGGATGCAATGGGTCTCCCCCTTAACCCTCTGTAGCAACAGTGAGAACACATTAGTCACTCCTTTTGCTGGAGGCATTAGCTGCCTCCATTAAAATGCAAATGTCAACCCCAGAGAGAGTAGAGGATTGCTCTGTTATCAGCCTTTTCCACCTCTGTTCCACTGTGAGCTCTCTCTGTTTCCTATCCCCTGGGAGGCCCAGAGGTTAAGAGGTGAATCTGGTTCAGAAAAATGTAGGGCCTGGTTCCATAGGTGACGAAGTATAAATTTATCATCTTGGCTTCCAGAGAACCAGAGGTCAAGAGCAAGAGCTGATGTCCTTGGTTTGCCCTTCAGAGTTCATGGTGTGTGTTTGTGTGGGGGGTGACAGGTTGGCTTGGAAGATGGCTCTTAGAGACCTCAGATATTTGTGGCCTTGGGTAAAACAGTGAGTCCTAAGTTCTTATGGATAGCCAGCCCTCAAGGCACCCAGTATTCTAACCAGCTAGCAACTCTGGGACTTGGGGAATTAAGTGGTTCTCTGTAGGAAGGGTAAATCCAGTTTGAAGCATGAGACTTGATCAGAAAGCACAAATGGGATTTGTACCTAATTGTGGGGAGGGGATAATCTTTAAAATCCTTCCCACCCCTGGTAGTGTTCAGAAATGGTACTCAAAGTATAATGCTTAATATTTTAAGCTAAAGGAGAATCAAAGTGATACCAAATTTTCTGCTGTTACTCTCCAGGGGCAGAGCTCACACAGCCCTCCTGGCTCTACAGCCGGCCGAGGCCACTGGGGACACAGCCTGTAGCAGGCAGAGCTTGCATAGTGTTACAGCTTAGTAGAAGACAAGGCCTGCCAGTGTTACAGCTCCAAGGCTAGTGCTGCTAAGCCTCCATTGCTGGGCCTCCTCTTGTCCCTGGAATTTGATAAATGAAGTCCAAATAATGGATGATGAGCGTCAAGAACTTTATTCAGAAAAGTATCTAGCTTGAAGACTGTTGCTGTTCTGTTTAATCATCATCTGTTCTGTTAGTCATCCATCTTCTCTTCTTTAGGTGACTGTCTCTATTCATGTCTCTGAATCTAGGCGGTATTATAGCCTGGGGTATGTGCTGATTGGTTGTCTCTACTATAATTAGGTATTCATAAGGTAGCACTTCACTAGTCTGGTCCCACAATGTTCTAATTGGCTATTAATTCTTAATCAGGTCCCCTATGCAAATCCTCTTCTCAGCATCCAGGGAGGTTATAGAAACTAGAAGGCACTAAGGATGGGCAGAGACAAGATGTTCCGATACAGTATTTCTTTTGTGTCTGGTTTTGGCTTGCTAGGCCAAAATGCTGTGGTTGTAGTGGTGGTGGTGAAGGCCTGGGTTCTACCTAATTTGCTCTCACTCTTGCCCTTTCATTCCTGACCTGCAGGCAATTTCTCTGCAATTCCCTTGTAGACCTACAGACTGGACCTTCCAGCAGATGAGCTCATAGGAAGAATACCTAGAGCCTAGCTCCAGTGACTTTGGTCTCAGGATATTTTCTGTTCTTTGGATCCATTCATCTCTGCTAACAATGATTTATTTTCCCCCAAAGATTGCCTATAGCCTACATCTGCTCTCCCATAGCTTCTGGAGCCATCTCCTAATAAGCTTGGACCTTGCTTTCCAAGTGTGGCTACATTATTGAAAATTTGTTTCCCCAAATGGGATGGACCTGATCATGCCTGTCCTCAAAACCAGGATCCAAGCTCCTCTTCGCCAAATCTGAAGAATCCAACCCACCTGTCCATCCTCACTCACCATCTCTAGTTCCCTCCCTCGCACACACCTGAGGCTCCACGCCACTCAGTACTCCCAAGATTTTTATCTAAGAGTGAGTAGGCATCTCCTATGTGCTGGGCAATAGACTAAGAACTGGGCACAGAATGAATGTGGACTCTGTCTAAGGAGTTCATCAGACTGTGGAACCATTTCCATAAATGAATTACTACCATACAACAGACATTATGGTGGTGACATAAGGAAGGTACGCTGGAGTGGAGGATGAAGGGCCTACCTGCCTGGAAGAGGGATGGCAGAGAACAGGGACATTCATTTAACTTGTGGAGGAACAGGGGGCGATGTCTGCAGAGGTAGAAAGAGCAGTTTAGGATGGGGAAGTCGAGGGTGGTGAAAGGTGGCAGGTAGAAGAAGCTGCTTTGTCACAGTTTTCGGTGGAGGATGTGATCGGATGAGAATGCAGTGGAGGACAGGTTTGAGGGGAAGGAGGGGGAGTTGGCAACTGTCCCGGAAAGAAAGGGGAGAGCATCTGGACAAAGGTAGTTGTGAGTGAATGTGGAAGAGGCATGTGTGCACAGGCAGGGGAGGGGAGGCCATCATTCTCAGTAAGTCTGGAGAATTGAGTTTAGCTTTAGATACGTGGAATCAGGGTGCCAGGATGTTCCAATAGCATACAAAGGCAGGAGGAAGATTGGAATTGGAAAGGAAGGCAAGGGCTGAAGATGTAGAGTTCAGAAATATCTTAGGAAAGAAAACATGTGCTTATCCTTTCACCAATTTTACTTGTAGGAATTTCTCCTAAGGATATAATTAAAGATGCATGGAAGATTTATCTACAAAAATGCTCATTGTTTATAACAGTAAAAGGCTAGTGAAAAGTGCCTAAAAGTAGAGGACTAGTTAAATGAATCATACTATATCCATAAAAAAAGCTCTATTTTGACAATAAAGTGGCTATTGGGTGGACAGGGGTGCACATGTGTAATGCCAGCACTCAGCACACGGAGGCAAATGAATCATGAATTCAGTGCCAGCCTGGACTACAGAGTAAGGCTTAGTCTCAAAAGTAAAATAAAATGGCTGGGCAAAGTGACTCAGGTCTGTAATCCTAGCTACTTGGAAGGTGGAGATGAAGAGGATCATAGTTTGAGGCCAGTGCAGGGAGCAAAAAGCTCTTTAGACCCCATTTTAAACACTATAAAGCTGAGTGTTATGTGCCTAGTATCCCAGCTATATAGAAAGCATCAAGGCCTTCCCTGGTATACACTTGAGACCCTATTACAAAAATAACTGAAGTAAAAAAGGGTAGGGGGAATAGCTCAAGTGGTAGAGAGACTGCTTAGCAAGCGGAAGAACTTGACTTCCAACCCCAATACCACCTTAAGTCAATAATGCTTTTATTGATTTTAAAAAACACCCAGTAAAAATATTTGTTAAGTAGAAAAAGGTAGACTCTAAAATGTATGTAACAAAACTCCTGGTTAAGAAAAAATTAAGACCTTAATAGTGTTCTTTTTTTTTTTTTTGTCAGTCATGGGGCTTGAACTCAGGGCCTGGGCGCTGTCCCTCAGCTCTTCAGCTCAAAGCTAGCAGTCTACCTCTTGAGCCACAGTGGCACTTCTGGTTTTCTGGTGGCTAATTGGAGATAAGAGTCTCACAGACTCTCCTGCCTGGGCTGGCTTTGAACCACAATCCTCAGATCTCAGCCTTCTGAGTAGCTAGGATTACACCAGTGTACGGCATACTGTTCTTTTTCTAGAAGGTAGCATGATGAACTTGCTTTCCTTTTTTTAACATTTTCTTACATCAATCAGAAACACCACATATGGCTTTTGTTGTAGGATGAATTTTTAAAAATTAAATAAAATTAAAAGTAATGATATAAGGGGAGCTCAGGAAATGAGAAGAGGATCAGGGTGGACCCTTTAATCACTACCATTCATACTTCTGGCTGTCTGGATCTGTGTCCTGAGTGTCTCTCCATATTGTGTTTGCTACCTGGCTGCATGATAGAAAGCAAGACACACTGCTGTGAGCAGCAGGCCTTGGACAAATTTCATTCTCTCAGCCTTGGTTTCCTTATTCGGAAGCAAGTAACACTTTCTTCAAATGATTATGTGAAGTAAATAGAATTTAAAAGAGACAACTGGTTTGGATCAAATTCCTATACTTGTCCCAACAGATCTAATCAAAATGGAGTTGCTCATGATTATGTGTGAAGTCCCAGGCCACCAAGCTGAACTAAGTTGCAAGAAAGTGGGGGGTGGGATGGGAGAGAACACACAGGAGTCGATCTGCCAAAATAGGGCAGCACTAGCTGGCAAGATATGGAAGTCTCTTCTGATTTACCCATTACCAGGGAAAGCACCTTTGGAACAACCTATGCACTCTTTGTTCTTATGTTTCTGCTTCTTCAGACCTTTTCTGTCTATAAAGTTAACCTCCCCAGCTCAACTCATTGGATCAATCTATTTTATAGAACCTTCTATAAAGGTTCTTGAATCACAAATAAAAGCCAATTAAGATTTCTAAATTAAATCTGTGGAAGTGTTGCCTGTTGGCATTGTTGCTGAACCATTTACTTACAGTGCACAGTAGTTAACAGCAATTAGCCCATCTTCCCTTTCTTCTTCCTGATCCTTCCCTGCTAGATCTGGATGCGACCTCTAGTCTTTTGGGGGCTCACAGTAAGACTTGATGCAGCCTGTTTCAACACTGGACATGCCCTGAGGTTTCCGTGAACAATGAACCTGGCTGACCTGCAGATAAAGGCCAGCTCAGCTTCCCTAAAAAGCTCCTGGGCCAGGTTGGTCATCTCTCTTTCCTGAGAGCACTCAGCACAGAGTTTCACACACTGGGGGTGTTGAAGACTTTGTTGACTAAGTATATGTTGCTTTTTTTTTCAATTTAGGTAATTGCGGATTACTCAAGGGTTAGTTTACTCAGATCTCTTGGAATTTTTCTCCTCCCAATCTGTAGCCCTGGCAAGGTCTGTCTGCCAGTTGGCAAAGAGATGACCAGCAGAAAGAAAGCAGCTCCCTCAGACCTCTAGACTCCCTGTCAGAAGCTCTAGGAAACAGGGTTGGGGATGAAGAGGGTAAAGTGAAGGCTGTCACTCCCCTCCCTGGGTGTGGTCAGACCGGCCGCAGGATTGCTTATATATCATTCCAGAAGTTTAGGTTTTCTTTGCCTTAATAAAGTCATTCTCACTTCTTCCTCACTCGGACGCCTTGCTAGGGTTGGCATCCTTCCTGCGAACAGCTTGTTGGGTTTGAGGCCGTTGAAGAAAGACCTTGGGTTCAAGTTAGGTGACCTGAGTGACCTATGACAAGTTGGTTAACTTCTTAGAGCCTCAGTTTCCGCCTCTATAATAACCACACAGACCTTGTCCCCTGTCACAGAAACAGGGTTATTGGGAGCCAAATACAACGTGAAAACGTAAGAATAGACAGAGACCTTCCCCCAAACGCCCAGCGCCCCCAGCGCTCCCGGTGGGGCTCTCGCTCGGTAACTACCCACCGAAGTGGTCTTGTCCGCCCCGCCCTGGCTGCATCGGCCTCACCCACTGCATCTCCATCTTTTCCTTGCTGTCCTCCAGCGCCTCAGAGATCCTCGGTGTCGGCATTTCCCGGGTCCATTTCCCGGTCTGGCTTTGGGGCCTCTCCTGGGACTCCCGGCTCTGGCTGCTAGACACAGTCGCTGCCCGGACGCCCCCCACTCGGCGCGCCCTCCTTTGGCACGGTCGCCCGGCCAGAGAATCGCCCAATAAGAGCACCGGACTCCAGCCTGACAGTTCGGGAAGCGGCCAATCGAGCCAGGCTAGGGAAGGGGGCGCAGCGCCGGGGCCGAAGTTAGGTTGAATGGGGTGGTGGTGGGGAGAAGGGGTGTGGATAAGAGGGGACACAAATTAGGCGAGGTAGGTTTGGGGGTGCACGAACCCCAGCCGGGGGCGGGGACGGAACGCACGCCACTGGGGTCCGGCAAACCGCGCGAGTCTCGGTTCCCGGCGCCAGGCAGCCAGGGAACGAGGGAGGGGGCGCAGTGAACATTTCAGGTGAGGGAGGGGAAGCTGGGGGTCCCCGCGGCTCCCCGGGCCTAGGCCCGAGGATGCCCGCGGAGCGCCAAGGCTGGGGCTGG